GAAAAGGCTCCGAAGCCGTCTCCCCGGCCTCGAGACGAGGCCGTTCTTCTGCGCGCGAGGGCCCCTAACGCGGAGGGACAACGTCATCGGCTCCCCCGCCGCCGTCCCCGCACACACGCCTTGGTCTTCCGTGAAATTTCGGCAGCGGGGAGGAGGAAGAGGGAGGGAGAAGGGAGGGGGAATCATCAGAGCCCCAAATCGGTCACCCAGGCGAGCCGCGGAGGAAGGTCGTCAGTGCGAAGAGGAAGGGGGCGATTCCAGTTTCTGGAGCCGGCGTCTCCGGAGCTCCGCGGCGTCGGGCTCCCCCAACAGAGACGATTCCTCGCCTTCCTCCTCCGGCCCGGTGAGAGGCGTGAAGCCCTCGGCACCCGCCAGCCCGGCTGAATCTGAGGGAACAAAGCGGAATCGCCTGAGTTTGCAGAATTGCAGCTCGGAGAGCTGGGAAAAATTGCTTTAAAATTACAGAAAAGCAGCTGAAAAAGGAAACGAACAGCTGAGTGGGCGGATAAGGTGCCTGCTGGGGAAAAACTGCATCTCCAGCTCGTTGGTAAACAGCTAAACACCTGCCGAGAGACTCGGATATTTTAAAAGAGGGTCCGGTCTCTATGTTGGGGGACTGTCAGAGCCTCAACAAGCCTGATTCTCCCTTCCTTTACCTGACTAAACCTCTGCAGCGGTGTTTACGTGCCGCGCTGGGTGTTTCTCCCCAATTTCTCCTCCCGACCGGCTCAAAATAGCTGTACAGCACCTCGATTCAACCCAGCCCATCACCACACCGCTCCTAAAGAAGGATCGGACGCTTCACGACCAGCCTTTTGAATCCCGGCTTTTCGAAACGGCTGGATACCGCCCGTTCGGGGGAAGAATCGCTGCCCAGGGCAGGACAAGGGCGTTCTGAGCCTTTAAAACCCACTCATGGCTTCAAGCTGTCCTCTTGCAACTGTCGCGAAGGATAACCCTAAGTCTTATAACTGCAAAGCCAAGACCTGAATTTGGAAAAAAAAAAGAAAGAAAAAAGAAAAACACCCAAACCAGGCACTTCTTAACGCTTTACCGACCGCTTCCACCCTGCGAGACTCTGCCGTGCCCGGATGTCTCTCCCATCCGGTTTCCCAGCAGTGGGAACCCCACAGATTCCTCAAAACCCACCCCAGGAAGGGGAAAGAGGGAAAATTTGGCCCCACGCAGACATCGCTACGGCTCAGAGCCTTCCCCACACACCCAACCGCAGCTCGTCTCGCTGCGGGGTACGCCTGTTCTGCAGCAGCGTTACCCGATGGTCGCCAGGACCGTCAGGTACTGGTTGATCTGGAGCATGGCGGCGTCCAGGAGCGTGGGGGTGTTTCTGCAGACACTGCAGCCTAGCTTCCAGGTTCTGCCGGTCGTGGCCCTCCATGGCCCGCAGCTCTTCCTCCGTCAGCCCCGCGAAGCCGGCGGGCGGCATCGGCATGGGAGGGAAACCTGGGAGGGGGGGAAAACAGGCGGGTGAGGGATAACGGGAGAGGCATGCGCTTCTCCTGCAGAAATCGGCCTCCAGGGAGGCAGGACGCGGCAGATTTTCCTCCCCGCGCTGGGATAAAGCGCCTCAAAAACGCAGAGCGAACTCTTCTTTCCCCGCTTACCAAACAGCGGCGGCCACGGCATCCCCATCCAGGGCGGCGGGAAGGGAAGTCCAGGCACCGCTCCCGCGGGAGCGGCCTCCGATCCCGCTGCGGCGGCGGGCGCCGGGAGCCCCGGG